AGAAACTGATAGCTCTGCCCAGTTTCATATACAGTTTTGATAACTCTGGAGGAGAATACAACCATTAAAACAAATGACGTGCCCTTCTGTCCTTTTGCAGGGGTATAATACAGAGTAGAATCGGTAGAAAATGAGCCCATAGCCTGGCACTGTGCATGTATCTTTCCATTAAGATCAGAGGCACACAGGAAACTCAGATCTGCTTGGCATGTAAGACCTATGGACCACAGGAAGTTTGATGTCTTTCTAGTCTAACTWATGAGCTCTTACAGGGCTTGTGGCGCCAGGTCTGTTGAGTAAATGTACAATGTTTCAAGACTTTCAAAAGAGTTGTAGAATTTTATTCCTTAACTTCTGTAAAATGTGGATTTACTGCCTTCCGTCTGTGATTCTTTCATTGCTCCCATTACCACAGCCATCTGGAAGTCCTAAAGTCATGAATTTATTTATTGTCTTAGTACCCAAACAATGTTAAAAACTACTGTCAACTGCATATATAGGGATGTGGAGCTAAGCCATATTTACAATATCAGTAAAGTATTGCTCTATGCCTAAGCTTTCCCATCATCTATATGCTCYACAAGCAAGCATGGCTCAGGTATGATGAGGTTGACCGCTGTGTCATACACTTTTGCTTTTTTTTTTTCCTTGAAGCAGAGCCATGCACTAAAGCAACTAGCTTTTCCACTTTCTCTTTCAGGGTTTGCTGTATATGCAGTATTCAGTAATCACTAGAGACTTACTTTGCTTGAAAAAAAAATCCTTCTTTAGTTGGAACAGTGTAACAAAATCAGAATTTTTGGAAACATTCACCTTTCCAGACCACCTGTAACTGACCTAAACGGTTTCGAGGACAAATTCTCAGTATTGTAGCTTTGGTTTAGTCCCTAGAACTTCCTACATAAATAAAGCAGGAAACCCTTTTTCCAMCTGAAAAAGCACCAGTGAAACTCAGATGGGCCATGGCTGGGAATGGGAAGGCAAGTTGCATATACATTCAGTTTGGAGAGAAACTCTGCAATATTGATAGTATCACAAAGTAATTCATTTTGCTTCCTCAACAATGTAGTTCTCTCTACATTACTCAAGCAAATCATTTTCATTCAAAATTACAGATGAGCTAGCTCTTCCTTATTCCAATACTAATGTATTTTTGCTTTACTTATAAAAAAAAAATCCAATAATAAGAAAAAAAAGTATATAATTCCATTTGAAAATACATATGGTGCTCTCTGCTTCATTTGGTTCAGAGGTCCAGTTCCAAAACGTGTCCAGAAAGGTTAAGGAAGCTCCCTTTCTAGAGACCCATATCAGGTGTGAGGAAGGAACCCAATCTTGCTTAAGTAAGTAGTTATTTGAATAGTATTGAATCCTTGTTTGGAACTCTCYATGACTGGGAGAAAAGGAAAATTTAAAGTTGGGACATTTCTTAACATTTTGACTAGTAGAGGAGTTGAGCAGAGAAAAGGGAATGAGACAGTCTTTGCTCATGCATGATGTCTGATGGTGACTGGTTGGTGACAATAAGGCTTTCATGTTGTGGCTTTTTTCAGATGTTTCTCTACATGTGTAACTACTTCCCAGGCCCTAATGAAACAGTTGTGTGTGGCAGCTTTGGCTGCTTATTGTCAAGAACAGTAAGGTCTCCTCTTCCATTAGATATAGATTCATGTAAATGGGGATTYTTTTCTCCTAGATTTTTTCCCCAATATATTTGCTTAGTAGCATCTTATTCCTCAAACTAATAATGTCTTACTCCTCAAACTGTGTTTAAAATGCTTGTAAAGYTCTTGTAAACATACTTTTATTGAATTCTCTGGGTGAGGAGAGCTGATGAAGGTTCACATTAGGCAGGAAAATAAAACAAGAAGAAGGATTTTCCTCAAAGAASTGAGGAATTTAAATAAAAGAAATTCATGCCATGTGAGTTCAGTGGAAAAGTTTCATGAGAGAGAACTATTTCCACAAGAAGTTGTATATATATTGCAGAATGGTTTCATTGAATCCATCTGGTTTGTTCATAGATGAGTAAAACTGTGAAGTAAATGAAAAAAAAAAGAGTAAATAGAAAGAGCCAAAGAAGTAAACCAATAGTTTAAGTCCCCAGTGGCAGTAAATGATATTATTCGCCCCAGATCCGTGTAGCACATTCTGTTTGTTTCAAAAGCAACTGTGTCATTCTTGATGCTCTTGTTAAAAATATAAGACATCAGTAAAGGAAAGAAAGTCTTTGCATTAGTTAGCAGCCAGTCGCTCATTTTGCTCGAACACAGGGCTGTCCCTGTGAACACTGGAGATCTGGCTTCTCCTCTGTGCTCACTAGTTTCATATGGTCAGTTAAATTAATAAAGGCCATGCCTTGCTGCTAGCAAATGCTTCCAGTTTTTTTTATACAAAATTCAAACCATTCCACTAATCACAGCCTTAAATTGGATTTGTCTGATTGCCGGTGATAAATGTCGTGGTTGATGTGAAGTCCCAGACTAATTTCTGCAAAGCACACCCAGCCTTSTTGTTTGTGTAGAGTAAAAAAAAGACATCAGAAAAATATTCGTGACATTATGTCTAAAGAAACCTAACCTTGCATGCATAAATCAGCAGAGCGCTGACACAGGTCTGGAGGCAATTCCAGCACCTCTGATGCTTACAGGATTCCCAGATTATAACAACATGGACAGATCTACGGGCCCCATGGTGCTGAGCTGTTCTGAAGCTTTGTCACAGGCAGTAAGGGAACGGAAAAGAYGCATCCATTTCAGCCTGTGCTTGCTGGGAAAAACTTAGGATGCATTCACCAAGGAGAAAAGGGAGAAGAGCCACATTAAATGGAATAGGATATTTTCTCCCTCTTCAATTTGCCTATGCCTCCAAGATGAGGTTTTCAGGCACTCAGTTTGCCCAGTTGTTGAACCAGCCTTCCCCAAAGGCTGGACCTGGTCACTCGCTCTGCAGCTCTGTGGAAGTTGGGGCAGCCCCCTCAGGGACCAGTTCTGCGTGTTAGGGGTACAGCACCATGTACTGAGCACATCAAGCCTGACCTTTTTTTTTTTTTTTGATGACTAAAAACTATTGGCTAGACTATTGACTCTCCTAAATTCATGGGATATTGCCTAGCATTTAAAGTAAGGCCTTTAAAGGCCTTAAAGGCCTTTTAGTGTTATCTACAAAAAGTTGTAAAACTGTGTTCCTTGGTTGGTAGATACCAGGCATAAAGCAGAATCTGCAGGGATTATCAACGCTCTGGCTAGCCAACAAAGGTGGATATTAGCATAAAGCTTTCAGTAATTTGGTACCTCCTACATCCACAAAAAAAAAAAAAAAAAAAAAAAAAAAACCTACTTTGTCATACTGTGTTCCTGCAACCATGCTAGACAACTTTCTTTGCACTCTCAGGGAGCAGGCCCAGCCACAGCTCAAGGTATTTTTCAACGATGTGTTAAATGACCAATCCATCACTGCACCAGTGTTTTCCTCTTTAAGACAAATCTTTCATCGCTTTGGAGGGGACAGAGCTGCTGAGCTAATCTAGGACATCTTGGAKTGACATGTTTTAATTGAAGACCACACCTATGTGGTATCAGATCCTTCCAAATTCTTGTTACAACTGTTGAACACATGCTTAACTTCATAAAAAGCTATTCTTTATATATTCAGTGTCCCACTACTTCTAAAAACTGTGTCTTAACATGTCCTGGGCAATCATTATCTCTATTTTGCAAATCCTTCTTAATAGCAATTTAACATTCTGAAAGAAATGAGTGATGTGAAAGAAATTTCTTGTTGTATGTCTGATAAATTAAAAGCATCTATTTTCCTTGAGAAGATGAAATAGTTGTAATATTCCAACAGGCATATGTCAAAGTTCCCGTATAAGAGGTTAGATTTGCCTTAGAAACATAGAAATTTCCCATGTTTTTTCATAGCAGTCAAATTATAACAGACATATTTTTAGAAATCTTTGTTTTTAAGCATAAACTGTTTGTGAAGTAACATCAACAGAAGCCAAGCCAAATTAACAGAGTTGCATGTTATTGCAGACACATTTTTAGTATAACTCTGCAAAGATTGCTAGAGTCTGTAAAGCCTTAAAGGCTTCAGAGCATCAGGGTGTGGGACTCCCGTGCGGGAYGTGTTCAGCTGGGCCAGAACCTAAACTGAAGAGCTCAGTCAGAAAGTCAGAAGGAACCCAAAGTAGACAGCTTGGAAATGGAAAGAGAAGATAGAAAGAACACAAATGGGAAAAGGAAGAARGGGCTTCCATACTTCTTGTGTATGATTTGTGATGAAATTTTAGTTAGAAGATCACACTTTATTTTCTGCGGTCCACATCCTCACATAATGTATGAGATGGATAATGGTCACTGAATATTAAGCTGTTCAGCTTCTTCCTTCCTTTGAATCTGTATTTGTTGAGATCTCTTTAAAAAAATTCAGAATATAAACTGTTGTAATCTAGTATCTTCAGAGAGCCTGGGAACAGCTAATTATGTGGCAAAATTTGTACAAGCTCTATTTTATAAAGAAAAAGGCATGCCTGGGTATGAAGGCTGCCTTTCTTCTAAAGCTCAAGTCTTCTCTTTAAGGCATTAGAGCACTAGACTCTTCAATTGATTGTTTTTTAAAAAGACAGAAACAATYTATTTAGCTAATTTATTCTCAGAAATAGATGATCCCTTTTGCAAAACAAAAAAAATGTGGAAAGGATGGATGATGTCAGTCTGAATGAATTAAATTGGAAGTAACTAATAAAACATAGAAATCAGGATGGGGGAAAAAGCTGAAGCTTTTATCTTTAAAGAGGGAAATCAAATCACTTCTATAGAGGTTTACAAACCAGGATAGCAAGTTTGGAAGTAAATCTCCAGTTTAGCTAATATTTTGCTCGTGTTGAGAAAGTGCACAGTTACAGTAGGTATCTGAACCTGTTTACCGTTGTACTATGTTGTATTGCACTATAAGGATCCTTGAAGTGTCAATTCAATGTCTTGTGTTATTGGCAGTGATAAAGTCATCCGGATTGTTCCTGACAGTGAGAGGGAAACACAGATCCTGAAGTCTGTATTTAACAGAATTAAGGTGAGTCTGATTTTTTTTTGACCTTCTCTTGTCCTTTGCTGAAGACTGAAGTGGGTTAACTGACATGCCTTTCATTTTTTCCTTTTACTTCAAGCTATTCTATACTATGCAAAACAGCCTTTGCCCATTCAATTTCTAATTTCCCAGTAACAGCTAATGTCTGAAGGTAATACAGGTGCCACATTTGCAGATTTGCTTTTTTCGCTCTTACGTTTCTTGCTAGCATACTTAGTTGCATGCTGCATTATCCACTTGATGGGCTTATTTAAAGTCCTCAGTTTACTGAAGATGTGAACATAGGCAGGAAAAAGAAGAATTGATTTCTCTTTATACCAAAACTTTACAATTAAAGTAAAGAAGGTAAAGCAGCACCGGCAAAACAAGTAAGAGTCATATGGCAGAGTGAACACTCACGTCCAGCTGACTGGACCCCTGGCTGGGCATAGACAGAGGGACACTTAGGTAGCTTTGGCAGTCCTGGAATACACAGTTTTGTGCCACAGCAGAGTGCCAGTACCAAAATGTTGGGAGCAGGCACAAAATTTCAGTGCTGCTCACTGCCTTCAACTCTGTCAAGATATGGTGTAATCTGGGATGAATCTTTCAGTCTCTTGCTTAAACCTCATGTAAATGACTATTTTCAAAGAGGCAGGATTTAAAATGAAGGAGTTGAGTTCAGTTGCTAACAGCTGGGGTATAAGCAGATCGAATCTGAGTCCATATACCAAATCAAACAAAGTAAAGAACTTATAAGAGTGCCTACACTTTTACAA